TGTGCTTTGAAAGAGTGTTATGATAGGAATCTTTATGTTGGCACTGCGCTGCTTGAATTGTACACCAAGTCTGGAGAGATTGCTGAGGCGCAAAAGTTTTTTGAAGAAATGCCGAAAGATGATCTTATCCCTTGGAGTCTTATGATAGCTCGGTATGCGCAGAGTGACAAAAGTAAAGAGGCTCTGGAGTTGTTTTTCCGTATGAGGCAGTCATCAATTGTCCCCAATAATTTTACGTTTGCTAGTGTGCTGCAAGCTTGTGCATCTTTGGTTTTGCTGAATTTGGGAAAGCAAATTCATTCTTATGTTGTGAAAGTTGGTCTTGACTCAAATGTGTTTGTCTCAAATGCTCTCATGGATGTTTACGCCAAGTGTGATGAAATTGAGAACTCCGTCAAATTATTCACGGGATCAACAGAGAAAAATGATGTAACTTGGAACACTATAATTGTTGGTTATGTTCAGTTAGGGGATGGGGAGAAAGCATTAAATTTATTTTCAAATATGCTTGGATATTACATAGAGCCAACTGAAGTGACATACTCAAGTGTTCTTCGTGCCTCTGCCAGTTTAGTGGCATTAGAGCCAGGGCGTCAAATTCATTCCTTGTCTATTAAAACCATGTATAGCAAGGACACTGTAGTTGCAAATTCGTTGATAGATATGTATGCTAAATGTGGAAGAATCGATGATGCCCGGCTAACATTTGATAAGATGGACAAACGAGATGAAGTTTCATGGAATGCTATAATCTGTGGATATTCTATACATGGGCTGTGTATGGAGGCTCTAAATTTATTTGACATGATGCAACAGACGAATTGTAAACCTAATAAACTTACTTTTGTTGGTGTCTTGTCTGCATGTAGCAATGCAGGGTTGTTAGACAAAGGACAGACTCACTTTAAGTCAATGTTACAGGACTATGGCATTGAACCATGTGTAGAACATTATACTTGCATGGTATGGCTTCTCGGGAGATTAGGTCAATTTGATGAAGCAGTCAAGCTCATTGGAGAAATTCCATTTCAGCCTAGTGTTATGGTGTGGCGTGCATTACTTGGTGCTTGTGTTATCCATAAGAATCTTGATCTAGGTAAAGTTTGTGCGGAGCATGTACTTGAGATGGAGCCCCATGATGATGCAACCCACGTACTTCTGTCAAACATGTATGCCAATGCAAGGAGATGGGACAACGTTGCTTCTGTTAGGAAAAATATGAAAAAGAAAAGGGTGAAAAAGGAACCAGGCTTAAGCTGGGTTGAGAAACAAGGTGTGATTCACTATTTTTCTGTGGGAGACACCTCTCATCCTGACATCAAACTAATATGTGCAATGCTTGAATGGTTAAACAAAAAAACCAGGGAAGCAGGATATGTTCCTGATTGCAATGTTGTTTTGCTTGATGTGGAGGATGGTGAAAAGGAACGGCTCTTGTGGGTGCACAGTGAAAGATTAGCCCTGGCTTTTGGACTGATTCAAATTCCGGCTGCGTGTTCTATTCGTATCATTAAAAATCTTCGGATTTGTGTAGATTGTCATACTGTTATAAAGTTGATATCAAAAATTGTGCAGCGAGAAATTGTTATCAGAGATATAAATCGGTTCCATCATTTTCGGCATGGCATTTGCTCCTGTGGTGACTACTGGTAACTGATGTAGTCAAGTAGGGTACAGTGACAATTACGCATAGGTTTATAACATTTTTTAATTACTTAGTTTTGCCTATAGAAGGCAGCAATTGTACCGCATTGTAGAATCAAGTTATGAATGAAATTTTGGTGAATTGTTAGTGCAACTCTTCCTCCGGTGCGTGTGTGGAGCAATATATATATATATATATATATATATATATATATATTGTTACAATATGTAAGTAGGGTTATTTTAGTCATTTTACTTAATGTGTATATACCCCTTCTTTGTAACACATTCATTCAATAATACACATACATTTTCATATCATTTTCTCTATTCTCTCTTCTTCACATGGTATCAAGAGCACCATTTTCAGTTTTTCACCGCCTCCGCTGCCACCATCCCCTCCGACGCAGCTGCCTCGCCTCCGCCGCCACCATCCCCTCC